TTCTGCATTGGTTGGTAATTTCAAGACCTCAAGCCTGTCTTTAATTCCAGCATCCAACCTTGTTTCAAATTTTCTTGCTTTTCGAGTTTCGGTAGGGATGACGTATGTTGCAAAATGAGCGAGTTGTGTGAACTTGCTCTCATATTCGGCCACCGTCATGGTTCCTTGCTTAAGATGTATGAATTCGGATGCCTTCTGTTCCCGCAATGAATCTGGAAAGTATTTTTCATAGTATACTTCCAAGAATCTTGCCCAAGTCGTAATTTCTTCTTTGGCTAGAGTAAGAAGCCACTATTTCTGTGCATTGTCTATGAAAGTGGCAGTGGCGAAAGTTACCTTTTGTCTCTCGGTGCAGGGTAGGGCACGAAAATTCTTTTCCATGTCCAAGCGTCTGCTACCATTGGGTCTGGGCCGCCAGTAAATTCGGTAGGTTTCAGATCCTGGAACTGTTTTATGGTAACCGGCTCTTCTCGCCGTTCCGGCATCCCATTGTTGACGTTAGTCTGCAAAGCTTGCAAAAAGCTAGTAAACGCTCTTTCTATTATTCTTTCCACTGATTCAGTATCACTGACAGATGACTCACTTCCATTACCATTATTAGCCATTCTACAAAATAATAGACGAGGTATTATATTCTTAACACAACATATATATAAACATATGTAGCGTAATCTATATTTATATAAAATGCCAACTTTACATTATTTTACAATTCATATTACATCAGTCAGAATATGTTAGTGTCCCATCCCTGCGGTAAACAAAAAAAAAAGTCAACAAAAAGGGATTAGAACACATCATGATCAGCATATAAAAGATTTTTCGTTACCCAGATCTAGAGTAGTGGGTCAGGTGGGCCGAAAGACCATGGGAAATAATGTTGCATAAAAAGCTCAAATTCCCACCCCAACTGGACTACACCAAAACACATCCATGCTACCTGGACTGTGAAAATGGGGATGGACCGTATATGTCGCACAAATGCTCGGTCAACAATCCAGCCAGGTGTCTCAACATATGACAAATCGTTATTAAAGCCAACATTTTGAATATTAATGATCTCCAGTGGGTTAGGGACTGTGGTGAAAATGTAATTCTCAGGGTACACGTTCCCCCTTCTGGCCATAAACTCTGGGGGTAGAGGGCCTATGATGTAATGCGGGCAGTCATGACCCGGGGCGACGCCAAGGACGTGAGATGGTCCAAGAAAACGTCTGCGTGTATGGACAAGGCTGTGCTTCCATAATAAATGTGGGACGTTGGTAGGGTCAGCCTGAATGTAAACTGGCCGACCCATTAACTGGGTAAGGCCTGGGTGCAGTCCCCTGACTATTTCCTCGGAATCTCCCCAACCCTCAAGTGAGGCGGGGGCGGGGATGAGGCGTTCGACTAAGATTTCATCTAAATTGATGGCCTGGAGGTCATCCCAAAAAGCATCATCAAGATAAATCTTTGACATCCCTACAACACCAGAATAAACGTGAGATTTTACACAGAAAGACTAAAGTTGCAGGTAAATATCTATTATTATTTTATTTTATTTTATTTTTTTATTTTACTATATTTTCTTAGCTATATAGTTTTATTAAATTTTTTTTTTTTGAACTTCCTGATCAAATTAAAAATATATATATATATATATATATTTTTTGAACCGTTGCTCTGATACCACCTTTGTCACGACCTAACCCCAGGGCTTAGGATTGGAATCGCAACTTACTAACTTATGTTATTTGTAGCAAATTAAACTGCGCACGCGGAAATAAAATAATGAAACAGAAAATTTACTTCATTTTACTATTTAAGAAAAAGAAAATACATCTCTAGGGCTTTAGTTATTTTATTAGTGCAAAAATATATATAAAAAAAAAAAGAAAGGTAAAATAATGGTTCAACAGCAATCCATGTGCAGGTTCCATTTTGTGGGGTTATGGGTTTACCCTACATCTCGTTACCTGAAAGGGGAACAACTATAACCACACAGCAGGGTGAGAAATATTTTGTCAAGAGCGTAGGGAATACAAAATAACGATGGATAATTAGTTAGCCTAAAATATTTGCATAATTTAATTTGAAATAACAATTTATTTAAAGTGGCAGAATATAGAAATCATATAAATAAATAATTTTAACCACGGTATAAAATAGAACAGAACAGAGGTCACTGAAGTGACAGTCAGAACAGAGGTCAATGGATCCATGACAAACAAAGGACCACAAAGTGGTCAAACAGAAGCCTAGGGTTATTTAAGTCCCCCAAGGTGTGGGACTCTCGCGGTAGTACTTACAAAACATAATTGTTTATAAGGTTATAGTCAAATATATACTAAAATTTAAACAAACATATCCATGGGTTTCCTTTTAAATAAATAGAGTTTAGAAAATAACCCACGTAACTGAAATATTTATAAAACATAACTTTTATTAATATAGCTTAATAAATTATAACTTATATAAAATAAGTTATAGTAACTCTAAATATTCGTAAAACATATAATGGTAAATCAAGTTATAATATAACTAACCTTAAAATTGAGTCTTACTTTTCCTTTCTTATTTTAGTTAACTCCCACTGCCCCTTTACTTCCTCTCTTCTCTTTTCTTTATTTCTTTTACTTTTTCCTCCGTTCACTTTGTTTTTTCAGCCCCATCCCTCCTTTATATACCCACCACGCCAAAAGATGATATAATCATTTTATTGGGTGACTCACTCCCTCATACACCTTGAAAGCCCAAGTGGCATATATATATTTGCCCAGCACAACACGCTCTTAATTACTTAGATTAGCAAATCGTTTATAATCCGATATGAAATTAATTCAAGGATCTGATCAAGGATCTGATATCATTTCTATAGATATATATATATATATATTTATTTGTTTAGCCTATTTCTTTTAATTTATTTTATTTTTAAATTTTAATTTGGTCCAATTAGTACTATAATTTTATATTTCTGTTAATTTGATCCTAAATAATAATTCCTAATTAATCACATATTTGATAACCCAATGCCAAATTAAAATTTATATATTAATTTATTTAATAATCTATCATCACATACAGTCATACGGAACCGCTATGTAGCTCGAAAGGGCTTGGCTCGAAAGGGCTCGAAATTGTGTTTTACTCACCTGTGGCACTGCTGTAGCCACTGGGTACATACACCCCTTTCATTTCATTTCAAAAACAAAACCAAAAAAAAAGAGAAATAAAGAACAGAGTAGAGAAGAGATACAGGAGCAACGTCTACGACCTAGCTTTTGCCGCCGCCGCTGCTATTTCATCGGGGTGGAAGAGGAGGAAGTTTGCTTGAGTTGTGGATAAGGTATTTCCCCTTCAAACATTGCTCTGTCATGGTGCCATGACAGCTACCTAAGATGATTGTGGCTGCCATGATTGCTTTTCCATTGGTCTATCATAAAATTAGGAAAATGATCCAGAGCTCAAAACTCTGTGGTTGCTCTTCCATTGGTTACTCTGTGAATCACATCCATTGGTCTATCATAAATCCAATCTGCTCAAAAATTTTCATTCAATAACAGATGTGATTCACAATGAAAATAACATTATTGTGAAAATAAGAGGTACCCAAGAATAAATTAGCAGATTGGATTTATTGCCATGTCTTCCATTGCTGTATTAGTTGAGGATTTTTTTTCAGATTCATTGTCTAAAAAATAAATAAATAAAGAAACTCACACTTGATTGAGAATATCTCACAAGTCAGCTATTTGAACGGTGCTGATATAGCTTTGACAGTCCAATAGTGTATCATCTCATATACACTGCAAGTCCACACTAATTTTGAAGCCAGCGTAGTGTGAAAGGTCATGTAATTAAGAGATTCCTCTATTAAATGTGTAACTGATAATACATTTAATGTAAAATTGTGTATTTCTGTCCAGATACTTAGTTTGAAGACTGATGAGCTAAGATTGTTTATGTTTTCTTAGTGATGATGAGTTCAAGACATTTGATGTTATTGATGTAAGGATAAAGATAAACTGTAAGTGCACAAATCTAAAAACACAAAATAATACACAGAAATAAATAAATTCACACTATCTGATTAATTTGACAGATTATTAAAAAATCTTTATGTACCCTGAATCTTTCTAAAGAAATAAATAAATAAATCTGTTATGGCAAACAAATCTTTATGTACCCTGAATCTTCTAAAGAACACATTGTCTGAGATTATTAAAAAAAAAAAATATTGTGCCTTATAATGTGATACCTTCACACTATCTACTATTATTTAAAAAAAAAAAAATTGGATTTATTTATTCTTTCACATGCATTGTCTGAGATTCAGATTTATTTATTCAAGTTAATCATCCACATATGCCTTAACAGTATAATTTTTGTGACTTATAATGTGACCTTTGATCATGCTCAAGCTGCCAAAGAAATTTATGAGAAATTTCAACATCTGTTAGGTTGGCATTAGGTTGGCATTAGGCAATCTAGATGTTGAGGCTACTCTCTCTCATGCTCCCAGTTATAAAAAGTTATTCAGTTTGCTCTTTTACTAATTTGTCTATTGTATTTAACTTTGAAGCTACAATGGATATTGATTCAAACAATAATTCATTGAATGTGAGTGAGGAAGTTGAAGAACAGGATAACAATCTTGATATTAACGAAACGAAATTGGCGAAGTTAAAGAACCCGAGAAGGGGATGTATTTTAGCTCAAAACAAGAAGTGTACGCATTTTATGCACAATATGCGAAACACTGTGGATTTGCTATAGCTTTTAGATCACAAAATCTAACAAGTGATGGGGAAGTGAAGTACTTTGGAATTGAATGTACTCGGGCGAGGTTGAGAACAAAAAGATCAGAAATCAATCCCTTGGAACCATCTTTGTCATCCAAAATTGATTGTAAAGCAAGGGTCAGAGCTAGTCTACAAAATGATGGCAGATATAAGTTAACCACAGTTGTGCTTGAGCACACTCATGATTTAGTTCCTACAGACTCACGACATTTTGCAATGAATAAGAGAATTCGTACTCCGGTCAAGAGAAGACTAGAAGTGAACGATGTAGCAGGGATTGGGGTGGCGAGGAATTTTCATTCCATAGTTGTTGAAGCAGGGGGATATGAGGCATTAACGTTTGATGAACGAGATGCAAGGAATTATATTGAGAATGCTAGAAGATTGAGACTTGGGCTAGGAGATGCCGAATCAGTTACACTTTATTTCCATAAAATGCAACAACAAAATTCGAACTTCTATTCGGCAATTGACCTTGATGAAGATGGTCGCATGCGAAACTTGTTTTGGGCAGATGCAAGGAGTAGGGCGGCTTATAAAGCATTTGGGGATGTTGTCTCATTTGACACAACCTATTTGACAAACAAGTATGATATGCCATTTGCTCCGTTTGTAGGAGTTAATCACCATGGACAGTCAATCTTGTTTGGATGTGGGTTGTTATCCAATGAGAACACTGAGACATTTGTGTGGCTATTTAAAGAATGGTTAAGTTGCATGTCAGATGCTCCTCCAAAAGCAATAATAACTGACCAGTGTAGAGCTATGCAAAATGCCATAGAAATAGTTTTCCCACAAGCTCGACATCGTTGGTGCTTATGGCATGTGATGAAGAAAATTCCGGAGAAACTTAGAGGATATTCACAATATGAAGGCATAAAGGTTGATTTGCAAAATGTTGTTTATGATTCATTGACGAAAGATGAATTTGAGGGAAATTGGCTTACAATGGTTACAAAATTCAATTTGAATGATAACGAGTGGTTAGGGGTATTATACCGTGAGCGACATAGGTGGATTCCTGCCTATGTTAAAGACATATTTTGGGCTGGCATGTCAACTACCGGTAGAAGTGAGAGCATGAATGCTTTTTTTGATGGATATGTGAACTCGAAGACTACCTTGAAGCAATTTGTTGAGCAATATGACAATGCCTTGAGAAGTAAGGTGGAAAAGGAGACAAAAGCAGATTTCAAATCTCGTAACCAATTGTATGATTGTCTAACGGTGTATCATTTTGAGAAGCAATTTCGTGCAGCATACACAAATGCGAAATTTAAAGAAGTTCAAGCAGAAATGAAGCGTTTAGTGTATTGTCGTCCAAATCTTGCAAAAGATGAGGGATCAATTTGTACGTATCATGTGAGGGAGGCTATTCTTTTGGGTGAGGGTATGAAGAAAGTAGAATTTATCGTGTATTGTAATTCAACAGAATGTGAGCTCCAATGTATGTGTCGGTTGTTTGAGTTTAGAGGCATTATGTGTGCCCATTCACTTAGTGTGCTCATTGAGAGGTCCATATATGAGGTGCCACATAAATACGTTGTCTCGAGATGGAGAAAAGATTTGGAACGAGGGTATACATGCATTCCAACCACATATACTAACTTCGGGGCTGCTATAAATCCAAAGTTGCATGATTCATATCACAAGACGTTAGATGAGATCCTAGAACTTGCCACCAATGACGATGCTAAACACAAAGTGATTCAACTTGGGTTGAGGGAAATCAAGGATCGAGTGAAAACTATTGAATCGGGTACTGCGAGTAATGTGCCATGTACTAGTACTCTACCACCTTCTACTAGTATTGTACCACCTTCGCATACTTCGCCGAAAAGTCCGACACGTCTGAATACTACAAAAGCAAGCAACACTCGCAAGGTACTCAGTCCTTTGGTTGCTCGACGAAGAGGACGTCCATGTACGAGGCGGAAGGTTAGCAAGGTTGATCAAATAGTTAATCGGTTGAAGAGAAAGAACAAGAAGACTACTCCCGCACAGGTAAATACTTGGCATAGGTTGTTTCGTAACCTTTTTGTGGATTCATAGTTGAATGGTTACAATAAGTAATGAAATTGTGTTACTATTTCATGATAGGTGCCGGAAGATCAAGCTTACTATTTTCCTTCTATGGTTGGCACACAAGATAGTATGTATGTTCCGGTATGTGTTGAATGGACTTAAAATATTGTACTTTGCTTCTTGTTGGGTTTTATGTTAATGCTTCAAATTATTATTAACATTGTCTTACTATATAATCATAAGGTTCCCCACGATGAAGCTTACTATTTTCCTTCTATGGTGGGCACAGAAGACAACCTGTCTGTACCGGTACGTGTTCAATATTTGAGTACACATTTGTAACGATGAATGTATTGGTCAATATTTTTTAAAATCATTTTGTAATATGTACTTTGTTTTTATAGGCACGGGTTTGCACAATGGGAACGCCGAACAATATTGGAAGCACATCAGGAATGGTCAACAATCTAAGCAGTCAAAGTTCTACAGTACCATCACTATTGGATCCAAATGCCCCATTTTATTTTTAATGTAATACACTGTTCAAGGTCTGTTCAATGTAATACACTGTTCAACCTGTTGAACAAATAGAAACTGTTCAATGTCCGTATTCTACTACTTTTGTAAACAGGTTCTGTGTTCTAAACAGGTTCTGGATGATATGTAATTTCATGTCATATGGTCCCATTTGAATGGATGACTTGAATGGATGGTTTGGTTTTTATTTATTCTTGTGTCCCTGTTTTGATTAATGATGGATTTTAGATTATGGTCCCATAAAAACTGTTTTAATTTCATGTCATATGGTCCCATAAAAACTGTTTCAGATTAATCACTAAGCTTTTTGTGTGCTTGGGATCAGCGGACCTAGTTGTTTTTATGAGAATAGACACACTATCTACTTTTGCTTTTGGTGACTGGTATATGCATTGTTTCTATTTGCAACTTGGGTGAAGATGCCCAATTCTAATACTGTAAACAGTTTTTATATTTTTATCAGCAGGTGAGGATACCCAATTTTCATAATCAGGTTGACCTGGTTTTTGAATGTACATGAGTTACACTTAACTGTCACTGGATGTATCAGAATCTGCATTTTTCACCGTGTCAAAACCACATGAACCAACATGAAAGACAATCTTCAAGCTACATTTTTTTTTAAAAGTTGCTTGCATTATATTCATGAATTTGGTACTGCTAAGAATTGAGTTTGTGGGATTTCACTCACAAAAAAATTGAGGGACACCAAGTATAGGTGCTGACATATTGAAACAATCATGATATACCAAAAATCCATTAGTCCAGCACCTGCTGTTTGTGCTTTCTAATAGTCACAACACAATCCAGCACAATCCATCATCAATAACTATCTACTACTATTAGTCTATCACAATCAATAACAATCCATCACAACACGACATTCAATTCATAACAAAATTGAAGAGGTAACATATATTCTTGGTACCAAACCAACTCTTGGTACCAAACCATTTCAGAAGTATATGTAACAGGAACATAATCATGAGAATCTATCCCCAATGCTTCCTGGGCTTCCTCCAACTTCTCCTCAAATGATTCAACACTTCCAATATTGAAATAATATTTATACTGGCTCTTGCTTGGATCAGCAGGTCCTTGGACAACTGGTCCCTCAACGACATCATTGCTTGTTTGATTGTGTGGTGAGCTCCTTACATACACTTTTGCAACTGATTTATTCGAAACAACTACATGGTCTACTAAACCCGGTTCCAGGAGCTTGTTATATATGTTTGCAACCATAGATAAGATAACTAAGAGTGACTGTTTGATTATGGTTGCAAATGGTCTTAATTGATTAATTATCATATATATATACTAGTCAAGACAGTAAGCAACATATTGTATATATATATATATATATATATGTATGTATCATTAACGAAAAACTTGAATATGCGACTCAGCTATATATCCTACTAACTATGAGTCTATGATTATAAAAGCCCCATACAACCAAGTCCTGAAATATATTCAAGCATATAACTTACCTGTTGTTGCTCACGAGGACCAAATGAAAATGATGAAAGAAACAGGCCAATCACTAATATAGGGGTGATAAGATTTTGAAATTGCTTCAAGAAAGCTTCCTGAAAACTGCCATTATCACCTGTGTTTGCATCCTCTGCAAATAAAGAAATTAAAATATGCAAAAAGTTGTGAGATATTATGTATTATAATCAGTGTGGTGAACCATTTTTTAAACAAACATTCAGCATGAAGTTTTACTTAATAAATATATTTTTTGAAATATACACATGAAAATAATAACTTCTTCGTTTTTACTTTACAGATTCATTTATACATATATCTTTAGAAAACAAATAGTAAGAAATCTTTTTCACATTCCATATATTAGAAAAAGAAGGGTGGACCAAAATAGAAACTATTATCAATATTAGAAGAGGGTGTATATCATAGAATTTCTAATAATTTATTTGTTTCAAAATTGAGGAAATATAAATGCATATATGTTCTTATTTATTTCAAAATTGACGAATTTCCAACAGTTCTTACGTAGTTACAAGCCTCGACCAGCAATAACATAGTTGATGCTGCCACATTCACGCCGAAAGCCCAGAAAATTCACATGTTGCAGCCAGCAGATTGCCTCACCTTTCACAAATTCGAAGACAAAACCAGAGGACCCTTTAGTGCCGGAGAAGAGTCCCTAACATGGCAGTCCCGAAAACGAAAAGATCCATTAAACCAGCCAGGACCAAAAATCAACCCGACTCCGAAGACACCCAAAAATCTCCAAACTCCCAAACACACAATCTAGGTTTTACTATTATGTTGCTATTATTAGTAGAAGAAGAAACATAGGTCTGTAATCTGCATATATAATATGCAATGCATTTAATTTTTTCCTGACTAAACTCAAGTTGATTAGAGTAAACTTTAGACCAACTACATAATCTCAACAACTATAACTTATGGGTTAGCAGCAAAACATGATCAACTTATTCGAGCTACGAAACTTTTTCCTTTATTTTTGTATAGCAAAAGTCATAATTTGAGAAAAGGAATAAGATTTAAACCATTAGCTTTATAATAAGATATAAGGATTCTAATCAATTACAAGAAAATTGAATTGCTCAGTCAAAGATAATCTATACTTTATAACACAAGTCAAAGAAATGAAATGCATATCAAAATAGACAAATTGATTTCAGTTTCATTTGCCTTTTGATGGATAGGAATGAAGGTAGTTGTTGAACTGAAGTCAAGAAATTAGTTGATGGTAAGTGTGAATCTGGTATGACCTAGTTTGTCTCATTAAGGTCGTGTTTGGGTTGTTATTAATTAACCAAACCTAGTAAAAAATTACATCTGCATCAAGAATTTATTGAGTGAGTCATATTTCACCAATTGGGACTGGTTCAACTGCACTCACCTAATGGGCTGGCCAAACAGAAAATATCATTTCTTCAATGTTTGGGATTCGTATTCCTAGTACAAACTAACACCATATAATTCATATTCCAAATCAAACTAACACCATATTCTGTTTCATTTTCCTTTTCTGTTTTCACTAACACCATATTCCAAATCAAACAAACTAACACCATATTCCAAATCAAACTAACACCATATAATTCATATTCCAAATCTCAGAACTAACTCAACAGAAAATGAAACTAAAATCTATCACAGTACAAATTCAAAACTTCATAAAACAGTATCACAAGAACCAATACCTTAATAACAGAATTTGGGATAACCCATGGTTTTACAAAAAATATTTTGGGATTTTAGGTTTACCTCCAAGGTGAGAGGGATCAAAGAAGTTAATCCCCTAATTTTCACAAACATTGAAGCCAAAACGTAAATCCTAGATTTGGGATTTTAGGTTTACCTCAAATTCCGTGTCGTCTCGTTCACCGTCGTTCGGTCCCGTTCGCCGTCGTTCATCCTCGTTCGTCTTCTTTCGTCGTCAATCACAGAGCGTTAAGAGGTGAGAGGTATGACAGAGATCTAGGATAGGATCAAAGACTGCTGAGTAGAGGTGAGCATGGATAAGAGACTGCTGAGCATGCGTGAGCGTGATCTAAGATGAGAGAGCAGAGGTGAGCGTAATCTCAGATGAAAGAATGGTTTTTGGCTTCGGATAGAGGTGTTCGAAACAGAGATGAGAGAGAGAGAAGAGAAGATGTTTTTCGAGCTACTCGAGCCAAATAATTTCGAGCTACAAAGCTTTATCGTACAGCGATAATTATATAACTATAAATATGTATATGGTACTTAATTAAACGTTCAGAGTGTCACATTTCCTTTGTCACGACCCAACCCCAGGGTTTAGGGTTAGAATCGCGACTTACTAACTTATGTTATTCGTAGCAAATTAAGCTGGGCAAGCGGAAATAAAAATAATTAAACAGAAATTTTATTTCATTTTACTATTTAAGAAAAAGGAAATACATTTCTAAGGCTTTCATTATTTTATTATTCAGTGACCAACCCCGAATAAAAATAAAAGGGAGCAAAAATATAAAATAAAAAAAAAGAAAGATAAAATTGTGGTTCAACATCAATCCATGTGCGGGTTCCATTTTGTGGGATTATGGGTTTCCCCTGCATCTCGCCATCTGAAAGGGTAACAGCTATAAGCACACAGCAGAGTGTGAAATATTATGCCAAGAGTGTAGGGAATACAAAATGACCATGGATAATTAGTTAGCCTAAAATATTTACATAATTTAATTTGAAATAACAATTTATTTAAAGTGACAGAATATAGAAATCATGTAAATAATTAATCATAACCACGGTATAAAACAGAACAGAACAGAGGTTAAAGAAATGACAGCAGAACAGAGGTCAATGGATCCATGACAACAGAAGACCACAAAGTGGCCAAACAGAAGCCCAGGGTTATTTAAGTCCCCCAAGGCGTGGGACTCTCGTGGTGGTACTTACAAAACATAATTATTTATAAGGTTATAGTCAACTATATACTAAAATTTAAACAAACATATCCATGGGTTGCCTTTTAAATAAATAGAGTTTAGAAAATAACCCACGTAACTGAAATATTTATAAAAATAACTTTTATTAATATAACTTAATAACATATAACCTATATAAAATAAGCTATGGTAACTCCAAACATTCATAAAACATATAATGATAAATCAAATTATAATATAACTAACCTTAAGATTGAGTCTTACTTTTTCTTTCCTATTTTTGTTAACTCCCACTGCTCATTTACTTCCTCTCTTCTCTTTTCTTTCTTTTTTTTACTTTTTCCTCCGTTCACTTCGTTTTTTCAACCCCATCCCTCATTTATATACCCACCAGGCCAAAAGATGATATAATCATCCTATTGGGTGACTCACCCCCTCCTACACCTTGAGAGCCTAAGTGGCATATATATATTTGCCCAGCACAACACGCTCTTAATTACTTAGAATAACAAATCGTTTATAATCCGATATGAAATTAATTCAAGGATCTGATATCATTTCTATATATATATATATATATATATATTTATTATATTTATTTGTTTAGCCTATTTATTTATTTACTATTTTATTTTGTTTTTAAATTTTAATTTGGTCCAACTAGTACTATAATTTTATATTTCTGTTAATTTGACCCCAAATAATAATTCCTAATTAATCACATATTTGATAACCCAATGTCAAATTAGAATAATATATTAATTTATTTAATAATCTATCATCACATGCAGCCATAATTATATTACAATAAATATTTATATGGTACTTAATTAAACACGCAACCCAACCCATTGTATGAGGCATCACTATAGATTACGAACCCATCTGCTCCGGTAGGAAGTGCTAGTATAGGGGCTGACACAAGTCGACCTTTTAATTCTTGAAAGCAACGCTCCTGTTTATCAGTCCATTCAAAGGGTGTGTTCTTTTGAGTTAGCTGGGTCAAGGGTGATGCTATTTTTGAGAAATCTTGCACGAAGCGTCGATAATAGACAGCTAGACCCAAAAAACTTCGGATTTCTGACACATTAGTAGGTCGTGGCCAGTCCACGATTGCTGCAACTTTTTGGGGGTCAACCGAGATGCCATCTTTGTTAATGACATGACCGAGAAAGTGTACACTAGTGATCCAAAATTCACATTTCTTTAACTTGGCATAAAGTTTGTGATCACGTAGCGTTTGTAGAACCGTTCGCAAGTGCTGCTCATGGGCCTCTGGGGACTTGGAGTATATGAGGATGTCGTCAATGAAGACGATGACGTACTCATCAAGATAGGGTTTGAACACTCTTTTCATGAGGTCCATGAAGGCTGCTGGGGCATTTGTGACGCCAAAAGGCATGACAAGAAACTCGTAGTGCCCGTAACGGGTTCTGAAGGCAGTCTTTCCAATGTTTTCCATTTTAAATTTTACTTGATGGTAGCCAGAACGTAAGTCAATTTTGGAAAATACTTGTGCGCCTTGAAGTTGATCGAACAAGTCATCGATTTGCGGTAGAGGATATTGATTCTTGATGGTAGCCTTATTCAGCTCCCGGTAAGCGATGCATAATCTCATCGTGTCATCCTTTTTCTTCACGAACAATACTAGAGCTCCCCAAGGTGAGGTACTAGGTCGAATAAAACCTTTGTTCAAAAATTCCTGGAGTTGAGTCTTCAACTCTTTCAATTCTGTCATTGACATGCGATAAGGAGCTTTTGATATAGGTTGTGTGCCAGGTTAGATTTCAATGGTGAATTCGATCTCCCGATCAACTGGAATACCAGGTAGATCTTCAAGAAAAACATCCAGAAATTCTCGAACTACAGGGATTGCATCAACGGTGGGGGCCTCTTTTTGTGTATCATTCACATAACAAATATAACTACCACAACCCTTTCTTAGAAGTCGTTGGGCCGCCATGGAGGATATAATACAGGGAGGGTTAGAAACTTTAGCCCCATCAAAGAAGAGTTTTGGTTGGTTTGGTAACTTAGGGGAGACCTTTTTGGCTTTACAATTGATAGAGGCGCGGTTGGCAGGCAGCCAATCTATACCTATGATCACATCAAAGTTTTCAATACAGAGGGGAATCAAGTCTACGTATAAGGTTTTGCCTTTTAGGAATATAGCACAGGATTTGTACACATCTGTACTACGAGCAGACTTACCAGAAGAAAAAGATACAGACAATATATATCCCAATGGTTCAAGTGTTGATGCCAACTTGGCAGCAAAGTGTGGTGCGACAAAAGAATGAGTTAACCCAGAGTCGTTGAGAACATGAGCTAAATGACCACAGACAGAAAGTGTACTTGACACAACATCTTCGGTAATTTTCGGTTTTCTAGGTACCAAGGCGAAAGCCTAACCTTGGCGGTTTTGGTCATTTTTTTCTCCTCTAGGTCCCACGGGTCTCCTGACTAGGCCAAAGGGGCTGACTGTAGGATTAACCAGCTTTGGACAATCCCTTAGCAAGTGGCCAAACTGTCCGCATTTAAAACATGCTCCCGTGTCTCGATGGCATTGTCACTAATGAGCCTTCCCACAAGTGGGGCAATTTGGAATAGTGCCACCTCGGGGGTTGGTAGGACCTTGTTGGCCTGAGCTGGTTATGCCCATGTTCACCTTTTTATGAGGTGCAACACCGGGTCTTCTGTTATTTCTTTCCCAGAATCGCTTCTTGTAGCTTAGTTCTTCGGAACGCGAGGCTTTAATTTCCTTTTCTGCTATGTACGCCTGGTCCACCACTTCTGTATATGTTGTCAATTTCAAGACCTCAAGCCTGTCTTTAATTCCAGCATCCAATCCTGCTTCAAATTTTCTTGCTTTTCGAGTTTCGTTGTGGATGATGTATGTTGCAAACCGAGCGAGTTGTGTGAACTTGCTCTCATATTCAGCCACCGTCACGGTTCCTTGCTTAAGATGTATGAATTCGGATGCCTTCTGTTCCCGCAATGAATCTGGAAAGTATTTTTCGTAGAATACTTCCAAGAATCTTGCCCAAGTCGTAATTTCTTATTTGGCCAGAGTGAGAAGCCACCATTCCTGTGCATTGTCTTTGAAAGTGAAAGTGGCGAAAGTTACCTTTTGTCTCTCGGTGCAGGGTAGGGCATGAAAAATCTTTTCCATGTCTTTAACCCAAGCGTCTGCTACCATTGGGTTTGGGCCGCCGGTAAATACGGTGGGTTTCAGATCCTGGAACTGTTTTATGGTAACTGGCTCTTCTCGCCGTTCTGGCATCCCATTGTTGACATTAGTTTGCAAAGCTTGCAAAAAGCTAGTAACCGCTTTTTCTATTATTCTTTATACCGATTCAGCGCCACTGACAGATGACTCACTTCCATTACCATTATTAGCCATTCTACAAAGTAATAGACGAGGCATTATATTCTTAACACAACATATATATAAACATATGTAGCACAATCTATATTTATATGAAACGCCAACTTTACATTATTATATAATTCATATTACATCAATCAGAATATGTTAGTGTCCCATCCCTGCGGTAAACAAAAACAAAAGTCAACAAAAGGGATTAGAACACATCATAGTCGGTATACAAAAGATTTTCTGCTATCCAAATAGTGGTGGGTCAGATGGGCCGAAAATCCATGGGAAATAGTGCTGCATAAAAAGCTCAAGTTCCCACCCCAATTGGACTACACCAAAACACATCCATGCTACCTGTACTGTGAAAATAGGGATGGACCGTATGTGACCCACAAATGCTCGGTCGACAATCCAGCCAGGTGTCTCAACATATGACAGGTCATTATTAAAGTCAGCATTTTGAATATTAATGATCTCTAGTGGGTTAGGGACTGTGGTGAAAATGTAATTCTCAGGGTACACATTCCCCCTTCTGGCCACGAACTCTGGGGGTAGAGGGCCTATGATATAATGCGGGCGGTCATGACCCGGGCGACGCCAAGGACTCGAGATGGTCCAAGAAAACGTCTGCGTATATTGTCAAGGCAATGCCTCCATAACAAGTGTGGGATGTTGGTAGGGTCAGCCTAGATATAAACTGGCCGACCCATCAACCGGGCAAGGCCTGGGTGTAATCCCCTGACTATGTCCTCGGAATCTCCCCAACCCTCGAGCGGGGTGCTCGACTAAGATTTCATCTAAATTGATGGCCTGGAGCTCATCCCAAAAAGTATCGTCGAGATAAATCTCTGACATTCCTGCAACACCAGAATAAACGTGA